ACTCTAATTTTAACCAATCACAACATTATCATTCTTCTGATAAAATCATATCATAAAGTTATTGGGTGTGATTGGTGTGTGGTTAGAGTAGAAGTATGAGAAAGAAAGGAAAAAAAAAGTGAAAGAAAGAAAAATTAAAGAGGAATTCTCTATAATACCACACTTTGAAGTTTTATTTCAAAAAACTAGGCGTTTCCCCGCGCTACGCACGGGATTTGTAGTGAATTGTGTTAATATGTTTGGATTCATTAAAACATATTTATTGGTTTTTAGTGATATTTGATTAATTTATTTCCGTATATATGATGAATTGTTTATTTTGGGCTTCTCAAGATTTCATAATGATTTATATGTTTTGATTTTGTATTTGTTATAGAATATGTTTGTATAGATGTTTTTGTGTGTTTTCTTTTGGAGTTTGAGTTGTTTGAGTTTGGCTTTCGAACATTTGCCTGTTTGTAGACATTTTTGCATGTCTAGCCATTTTCTGATTGTTGGTTAGTTCCCGGAGAACCATTTGTGACTGTAGAGCATTAGCTGGCCTCTTTCTGGTTGTAACATATTTGGAAGTCTGATTGACTACCAATGCTTATAGGTGCTGGAAGTTGATTTGCAACATGTAATTAGTTAAAGTAACTATTCAATTGATTTCTTTAGCGCAATTTACTATTTGTATACTTACTTCGTCGTTTTCTACTTGAATAGTCTTCCAAAGGTTGTTGCCTTTTTTTTTTAGCAACTAACTTATTACTCTGACCATTAAGACTAACATTGCTTGGTGCTGAAAATTATATTACCACTCGTGATTAGTCGCCAAAAAGTGATCTATCATATTCAAAGGCTGAAAAAAAAAATCTAACTCGATGATTGATTATTTGTAATATCTCGTAAAGGTTGATGATGCTTCATTGGAGATGGATTGCCAAGTGGATCTATCTTCCTCCTCATAACTGGATTGTTAACTCAAAGAGAAAAGAAGTTTGTAAATATGAAATCTATAATATTGGAGTTGTTACATATCACGTTGCTTGATTTTACTTGAGATACATGTTTGTCAAATCAAAATTAGGGCTGATGTGCTCACAATTTACGGTATGAAGATAATTTTAAAAGAGTCGGAGTATAAGTACTGAATATTAGGTGCTATATTAGTAGAATAATATTGTTGTGGTTAAAAAAAAGGAAATTTGTCAGTTCTGAATTATGTCTATAATTATGAGTAAATTTCTGATGTTAAATGCATTTTTTGATAAAATATTAGTAGTTGCCACAAATAAATCGTTCAATATTTTATAACTTAATGGTAATCTGCAAAAAATATTTTTTTTTCAATTATAATAACTCATACCTCATATTTTGAATTAACTACCGCCAAACCTTAATATTTTTTTATGTTGCAGGATCAACCTTTTTGTAGTGTTCTAAATGAGGATACTTATATGGAGCTCTGACCTATCATTCTTGTAGTGTCCTAAATGAGGATACTTATATGGAGCTCTGAGCTATCATTCTTGTCCTTAAACCTATAAGTTGATTCGATGTAAGGTATGCCAAATTTGAATATTAGTACATGTAAAATTTCAGATTAGAAAATCGATGATGCTTTATATTCTTTCTTAATCTTGGTTTTAACAAAGTGAAAACATTTTGAAAGACGATCTATGAAGATTATTCGATTTACATTTTAAAAAGATTGACATGCTTTCTATAAAAACTATTGGAAGGGATGGTGGTTTCCAAAACCCAAAATTTGGATATGACAATATCAATGTTGAATGTCATCTTTTAATTAATTGTAAGTTTATAATGAGCTTAGTTTACATCTGTGTATTCATTAGAGGTTTTAAATTATTTAAAAGATGACGTTCCAGACAAATAATTTGGAGGCAAGACAAATTCTCTTGGATGTAAGCTCATACTAAATCTTCTGTATCTTGATGTAGGCAAGACAAATTCTCTTGGTTGCTGAGTTTTTATCTGGTTCATCTCCTTTAGTTTTCCCTTCCTCTGCTTTCTCGTCATCAGATTTCACTCAATGTCTATTGTCTTTGAAGATGGAGTCAACTATGTGATTTTCCCTTCCTCTGTTTTCTCGTCATCAGATTTCACTTTTATCTCCTTACACTTAGAGGATGGAGTTAACTCTGCAGTCTTCTCAGAGTAAATCATCAAAGGTCCCCCCTGATTGTCACTATTTTTTCACTGGAATAGAAGTCATAACACGTTTGACTCAAACATAGCTTTGAAATTGCAAATCCTATTATACAATTATTAAAAACTAAACAATGCAAGTACCTGTGAGCTATCACCATTGCTGATCGTACTACTCATAGTAACAATATATAGTTTCACAGTGACTAAGTTTTATCTAGTATATAAGATAAAAACTTCCGATGTAAAAATGCAGCATGAACCTGAATTACAGGCAAGATGAATTTTAATTGAATGATGATTTGTCCCTATTAGACAGTGGACTGGAAAACTGAACAATTCTTTATATATAATACCTTGGGACAAAATCATTCATCTCTCTTGCACACTTTGGACAAAAGAACACCGTTCGAATTTCATTTTCCTCGTCTTTTTTCAATGGGCACCACTTTCTTTTGACATGTTTGACAGGAGATGTAGAACCAACCCATGTCGGACACGACCGAGACAATCTCGCACAGAGCTACAGCCTTTCCTTTCTGACAATAAATATACACAAATAAAAATTAGTGGTTACGTTAAACATATAAGGTAAATAAAAACAAAGTTATGTTTAATACCTCCTCAAAATCATGAATCTCTCCTAGAGATTTTGGAGGATTAACTTCGTGACCCTTGGCCAAGAAGACTGTAAAACACAGCGGTTTAAGCACAGAGTAATACAAAATAAGATTGAGAAAATGACGTGTAGTTTAATAGCGTTTCCAATGCTTGCTCGTGATCAGTTAGAAATCTCTGAGTAAAGGTAAGATCATGAGCAAGGAAACCGTTGCACTACATTTTCCTTTCCGAGGAAAACCATAATTATAACTTCCAATGGTTCAAAATCCAACTTGAAGATGTCTCAGTAACTACAACTCCTTGTCTATGCATTCCACAGAGAGTAAAGAATAATAGCTACCTGATTATCTATGGGAAATATTCCATGTTCATCTGCAGGATTTGGTAAGTACAAAAAAAACTGTTATAAAAGGAGTTGAATAGTACCTAAAAATTCACGATCATCAGAATTTGGTAACCACAAAAAAACTGCTATAAAAGCACGGAAAGTGGAGTTAGCATTTACCTCTCTTAATGCACCAATGCGTGGCAAAACACTTGAATCACTTTTGATGTGATTCACCAATTCTTTAGGGATAGTTGAGCTAAAAAATATATATGCCATGAAGAAGAGAAAAGGTAAAGTAATCACATGATTGAAAACAGTAATATGTAATGAATGAATTCTTTAGAGGAGAAAGGTGTTGTCTCTAAGGGAGGAGACACTGGAAGTAATAAAAATTACTTGTTGAAAGCTAGAAGAATCGAAGCAACAACATAGTTAATCAATGTTAGAAAGACTGGAAAATTGAATCCAACTCTTCCCATTACCTGCAGAAACAATTATCAGAAGCAACGAGTTTTTTTAAATGATGAAAAGAGAGTTTTTAAGCTTTATAGGGTCAAAGCCTTTTTAGCAATAATAGCAACATTCCTAGGTGAGGTGGTGGGATCAAAGATGGGAAACATAACAACTCCAGTGGAGTCTCCTTGTTCTTGGAGAAACATAAGTATATCTAGCAAGATCAATGTCTCAAGCACTGGTCCTCATGCAGCTCGAATAGACCAGTAAGGCCCTATCAGCTCCTGCATGTTTTCCCCATCAATATATGAGAATCAATTTAATTGGTGGGATCAAAGATCGATTGATTGAGAGATAGAGTAGCTTACAGTGAATGCATCAGCTCCATTCCATGTGGCTGCCAGGTCGAGATCTTGAGGATGTTCTAGATTCAAACGGGAAAAAGCTGACAGGCAAAACTTCTTGAAAGAAGAACAAGTGTCGGAGTGCGAGCTTGTCTGCTTCATGGGTTTTTTGTCATCGGCGTCTGCAGTCAAGTTATACACATAAGTAAACTTATTTCGGTCTCACCTATTATAGAATCAAATCAATCAGAATCCTGACATTTCCTAGTTGTTCTACTGTTGCTTGAGTGTTAAGGGATTTTCTTTATCGCCAAAATCTCTTGATAATGTTTTGACAGAACCTTCAAGGAGTGAATATGTTGCTACTTGTCACAGACAATCGCTATATATATTCAGATTCGATAAACATTAAGTCACAGATATTGCGAGAAAGGAAAAATAAATATCTTTTGACCAACAGAACCAAACATATATATTACCACTTAGCAAGCAGCACGAAAAGAATGCAACTCAAAATTCTGTAGACCAGCATCTTCTCCTAAGCTACTCCATCTATCTGCACTTTGTGGAACACATAACACTTCTTTATACAAATAGATTACAGAGAAGAGACGTCATGATTAAAGAAACAATGTTGCAACATCCAAAACAAATACAACAATGGAGTACCTGACAAGCTAGATCACGCGCATTTTTGCCAAGCGAAAATCCCAAAGGATTTGAGACATGCTCATTGGAAAACCACAGTGGGAACTCGAATTCTCACTATTTTTTCCAGTTAATAAGTTGTAACTACGGCTTTAACTTTTTGCACTCCATAAAAGTCTTGAGGAAAATCAAGTTGCATAATGTTCAGCTTTCAGGGTAGCAATCATGACCAAACTAATAATGTGTTCAGAAGACTAAAAAAGATAGATCATTTGTAGGGGAACTCGTTACAAAAATGAATATATTGGAGACGGATAAGGATGATTTCGAATGGTAGGATTTAAGATCATCTCTTAAA